TTCTGTGATTCTGTGATTCTGTGAAAATAATGCAATCGAGACAGTAACACCCCTACAAATATAACACGGTGTTGTACAGGACAAGTATTGATTAAAACAAAAAGGGCTTTATTAAACACCATTAATTCTTACCAATTCTAGTAGTTATTGATTCTGCATCAATGTCATTAGCCTTTTTCTTTGCCACCTCAGCTAGTGCCAATTCACCCTTATCTAGTGCAAGGTAATGGATGTCCTTTGGGAAGAAAAGAGGAAAAAAAAAATTAATCTAAAATGAATCTCACAGGAGTAACAAAAGGGATTTTGAAAGAAAAAGGTTCTTTTATTATTTAGATCACAAACACAGATGGAACTGATGAACCTACCATTACATTTTAATTCTCTCTCAATGCAAATTTATTATCTTACTTGTGCTGTTGAATACAGCAATGAATAAAACACTGACCAATCATGCACTGATAAATGTGAAGCTATTGACTCAGTGTATGAAAGAAACCAATCTGTCTGCTTTTAAGGTAACTTCTGTTGGTGCAACATGAATTTAAAAAGGGTTGATAGGAGGTGACTCTGTGTAAACCAGATCTGAAGTACTGGAACTCTTCTGGCTGACAGCCCCTATTTGAAGTGTGTTATGGTTTCCACCTAGTACATGAGTTTTGAGGTAAAGCTATTTCGAGACTAGTATCTGTTTGGAGCTGGCCATGTTACACTTACTGTTCTTTGAGTTAGGTGATGGTGGTCCCCCTTGTGCTGATATTGGAGGTAGTAAGAGCAACAATGTTTATTCAATGGTTTTAGCACCCACACAAGTGACATGATTCTTGAGTCACTGTTGGACCACAAGGGGCTTTCCAGAAATGTTGTTGTCTAGCATGAATAGTTGCCAATACTTAGGATCTAGTCCTTAATCTAGGGTTAAAAATTGGAGGGATGCAGCAGGGGCATATCATTACATGCTGAACTGCAAGGCTTTCTATTGTGTGTTAACCTTTGAGGTGAAAAGCATTTGTACTACATACAGCACAATTTGTGAGAGAATATAATCCTGCTGACAAATTACAGTCTCACTGCCCTTGGTTTTGGCCCTTGAAGTGAAGTTTCATCCTTGACCATCAATAAAGAGACAATTAACCCCCTTCTCCTTTTGCGTCATGACCACAGGCCGGTCTATGCATTAACTGAGACATATGAAGTGAGGGAAACCCAGGAGCAGTTGGCAAAGTTTTCTTTCCCCCATTTCTTTTCTGAAGGTGTCAATTGGTACCCAAAGATTTAAGTAATTCCTGGCCATTGTTCTGCAATCTATCTGCATGCAGGAATTTAAAGGGAAAAGGAGTATTTGCTCTAAATATTGACTCCTGCATACCATAAAACCAACTATATTCTCACAACCGTAGAAAATTTCCTGTGAAACTGTCTTTCTCAGTGTAAGTTTACCGCCACCTTCATCAATTGACAGAAACTCTTACAGGAAAAATTTATCTTACTCTAGAAAGAGAAGCTGGACAAAAAAAGTGAAGGTAATACTGTCACACAGAAGAAAAAGATTATGCTTTTATCATCCCCTCATTTAATGAAGAAGAAAAAAAGAACCCAACCTCTCCAAAACTACAACAAAAGTAAGAAGCAAAGTGTTAGGAAAACCGAGACTGATTACGCATGAAAACCTGGCACTGACTTGCAGGATCCCACCAGTCTGGAGGAGATGACAACATTTGCTAATTACAAACACAGGTGTGACAAAAAATATGCAAGTGTCTTGGGGCAAAATAATGAGTTATGAACTTGTTGTGAACTCTGTACTTCCTCTCTTTGTAGGTCTAACATGGTTGTCAGGAGAAAAGGGCCTGAGAAGTAAGATACGATCCCTGTGAAGATTATATAGTTGATATTGTCAGCTTATTTAGATAACAACAGAAAACCTAAGGGCTCTTGAACAAGTCTGAACTTACAAAGATTTGAATGCATAGGCTAATTTAAAATACATTCTGACTATGCTTTATGACTGTCTTTTTGTAGTTTAAGAGAAGTATTGTATAGTTCAATGCAGTATAAATAAACTTGGGGAGGGGATGGAAACAACTGCAGAAAATGACAAATTTCTTTCAGTTAAGAGGTTGCGCATGCTGTGTGTATCAAAACACCTGTTATGTTCTGATCTTGGTTTTGTCCATGTTTTCTGTTTTGAGTAAAGAAGTGTAAAGATGCTATATATCCATTGCTAACTAACAGAGCTTTGTAAGAAATAAAGATCTAGCAGCAGGCTGGTAAGTGGCTTTCTTAATGGTTCCTCCAGTTGCTGTCATAAAGAATTAAAAAAAAAAAAAGTAGCTCTTGTCTCTGTCTCTAAACAAGCTTTAGAAAGAAAAAGCTACAGATAAAAAAACCTGCTAATTAGACAATTTCAGATCAAATTTATATGTTCCTCATTCAAATAAGCCAGCAAAATAATATTTTTCTAAGAATTTATAAATCTCTGAGTAAAATACAACTAGAAAAATAAGTAAAAGAGACAGAAAAAACACTTGATTACAGGGTGCCTTAAACAATGACAGAAAACAAATTAGCTGAATATTCATTACATATTTTTTCATACAATTATCTAAGAATTTATCAGTTCAAAGTTCGCATCCCTCTCAAAAACAATGGTGATGAGAAAAACAATTTCCAGCTGCTTATCAGGAGTTTGCTGAAAGAGTTGTATTTTATCATTTAACAGTTTGATTACTTTTTGGACTACTTCCCGTTTACCCTCATCTTTGTGACTCACAGAGCTGGCCCTCGGTGAGCAGAAGTCATTTGAAAAACTGATGTGCATTTGTCTATAGGATATTTCTGGGCAAAATTCCAACATTTCTTCGAAACATGCACTTTCCTCATCAGTGTATCACCCAAGATCTGACAGTTTTATTAAAGTGTCTTTTCCTTGCATTTTTTGCTACCTTTGGAACGTGGGATGGCCTTTTGAATTTTCAGCAGCTGAGAGCTGGAGCATACTACAAAAGGATTTCAAGCTAACAACCCTTCTATTGCTTGATCTTTTCTGTCACAGATTGGATCTGTCACTGTCCAATAAATGTAGCTGTTGTTCATGATATTATGTCCTTTTCAGTTTTATTTTTTTATTGAACTTCGTAGGAGATGATAATAATTGATGGACTGAAATGTGACGTGAGGGTAAAGCTTACGGAGAGACACAGCAGTCTATGTGTGTCTTGTTATGGCATCATACTAGTGACGCTATAGCTATAGGGCTAACATTTAAACCGTTTTTTTTTTTCTTTTTTATTTCTATGAAAGAAATTAGCCCTCATTAGCGTTCTCTCAAAATTCTTTGCAATCTCAAAACAAATAACAGGAATGCTGCAGAAAAGAGATGCTTAGGATAAATTCTCCAAGACATAGGGCATTTCCTTAGAAGTCTCAGAAGACTGGTATTCAACATTTGGATCCTCCTCAGCCTGTTAGATCTGCTTTTCTCTATCCTTTCCTTTTTTGCTCTTTCTCTGTTCCCCTCTAATAATTACATTTTTTTTCTTTCTCATTTTGTTTATGTCATCAGCTATCTTCCTTTTGTCTACTATTTATTCTCGAAATCCCATCAAATTAACTGGGAATAAGGTGGTGTGACTCCTAAAGTCATGTGAGGTTTTATAAATGGATTTGATTGGTCTGTAAAACAACAGTGCAAATAATTGACCTATATCTTAGCTATCCGGAGTGCACATTATAAACGCTTTAAATATAGGTAAAGTCAAGTTGTATATTATTAATTGCATTTTGACCTTTATAAACAATATAAACAAATTATTCAGTGTTAAGCAGAAGTGAAGAATGCACAAACTTTGCTTCGCATACTATTGTTATAGTAATATCTAGATGGACGGTAATCTTTCAGGGAACAGGTTATCTAATTTTCTCACAGTATTTAGTACAATGAAGCCAAATGCAATTTTCTCACCGCATTTAGTGCAATGAAGACCTATGCACCTTTAAACTTCTTGAGTCCTGTACTTAGTAGTCTTGCAGCAGTGCCATTGTTCGCTTATTGTAAAGTCTGCTCATTAATAACTAACTTAGGTGATGAATTAGCAAAAGGACATTTCCCTAGAGGAGGCAGAGAGTTAACAGAGGATTCGAAGAGGGAGGTGTGTGTGCTGCTTGTTGCATAATTTAGAGGAAACTATGAGGAATCTCAAAGGTAATACAAGTAGAATGAGGACAATATAAAACTGGTTTTGATCTCACAGTAATGTAAGCCAGGAGGAACTATGTGGAAATTCGTATTTACATTTAAGAGCATTGGTGAGATGGGAAGTGGAGAGTAGGTGTTGAGAGAGGAAGACCAAGAAGAGTAGGAAAGGATAGAATTAATTTCTCTGTGAACATTGAAACTCCTCTTGAAGAACACTGGAGAACCTTTTTGTTAAGAGGAGGACTTGTTACCGCTTGTGGAGCCAAGTACTGATAATCCCTCCCTCTTGTTAACATCTTTGTACCCGTCTCTTGACCTAATGTTGGTGTTCCCCACCCTGGGACAGAGATGCTCCCTCAGTCATTCTGTCAGTGGAGGAAAGGAAAGAGAAAAAGATCATGTAGGAAATGCTTTCAGCCATATGAAGGAGGGCCCTTGAGACGGCAGGGTAAATGCTGGGTCATTTGTTCTGCCAGAATGGCTGAAATTACTCAGGATTTATTATCTGTATGGGAGGAGAGCCTCTAACAAAACGCTGTAACCTGCTGCACAGATTACAGTCTGAATCTTATACATGGCTACAGTGCTTAGCTTTATTAGGTACAAAATTTGTACTGAAAAAGCTACATTAAATAAAAAGAGAAAAGGAAAAAGCTGAGCTAAAAAGAGGAAAAATTAAGGAGAGTAAGCATAAAACATGTTATGAAATTCCTAAAAGTCTGACATTTCCATTGCTTTCTTTTGATGCATACTTAGAAAAGTTTATCACAGTATTCACATCTTTCTAATTAGATGGAACAAGCCAGATGATTAGAGCCGTGAAAAAAACATCAAAAGGTTCACACAACTTTTTACATAATTAGAAGGGAATTTTCATAACCCATAAAAGTAGGATTTAATTGTGTAATTTAACATACAATTTAAATATCAAGATCAAACTACCAGGGCAAGTGACTTAATGGGATAAATGATATTAACATCTAGTGTCAAAGCTTAATTTAAACAACAGAATGTCTTCATTATGCAAAAGAGTGAAGCAAACGAATTGTTCAAAGGGCCTTTTTTTCAACAAGCCCCTTTCCTATTGTTTCTTTGAAAACAATGAAATAAGCTGTGGAGCAGCAACATGCTGAGAGACTAGGAACGCACAATTGGCTTTGTCCATCTGACCTCACTGTGACATTGTGGTGCAAGATCTTATAAAACAAGAGCCTCCTGCAGAGCTCACACAGAGGACCTTTAAAGAGCTGGTTAATTTTACTTTTGTAGCTAATTAAATGGGAGGTAGCAGAGAGAGCATGAAATATATAAACCCTTGGGTTGATGCTGCTGAGCTTTGTTATTTTAAAAGTACCTGTAGAAGCGTTCATAATTTGTCACTTTTCACAAAACCCTAAGAGACAAACTAAGAGCATTCAAGATCCCCAGGATATGGCCAGCTCTTGCGTCCAAGACTCAGCAGTTGTACTTCTTAAAGGAATGGATTAGAAACATATAAGCTTATTAGAGTGAAAGATGACATTCACCCACATCAGGACAGATGAAGAAGGGGAAAGTTCAAAAACATATACATTAATTCTTGGAAAACAGAAAATAGCCTTTAGGCCCTACTAGGGAAAATGTCAATGACCCTTAAAGAGACTCAGTTCCTACTGATGAGTTTCATGATAGCAAAGGCCAAATCAGGTAGAATAGTTCTGTCTTCACTATGTGTCTAAAACTGAAAATGACATGGATCCATTTTAATGTGCACAAAAGCTGACAACTACCATCCTGACAACAGCCTCTGTCTCCAGAAACAACTCACCATAAAGAGGTCCCGAGCACCTATGTCAACAGCTAGCAGAAATGCTTTTTCAAACCTCTGATACCTGCAAGAAAAAAGAAACATGTCACTTGCTGAGGAAAATTTAAGAGCTGCATCAAATTTTGTTAATGGGCAGGTGAAGTCCTTCAATTCTCATCAAAAGTGATGTTAGAGCTTTACTGAGGAAACTTGATAGACTCATATACAGATTGCAGAACTATGAGGTAGGACAGTGACTACTTTTACCCTTCTTCATTGTTTAAAACCTTCAGCAAGTGTTATGTTCAGTGTTGAGCCCCATCAGATCTAGTTGAATCTGAAGGGAGCTGTACATCATAACAGATTGATCTTTTGAAAGATACCACCCACAACACAGACAAATGCTAGCCCCTATAACATTGGTAGGAACCTCAAAATCCCCTACAGAAAAGATTATTCCCAAATCTCACAAGACTTCAGAAGCCCTCGTATAAGTTTGCATTGAGTTTTGTCCTCACAGACCCCTTGATACAGCTGTCTGAAGATGATAATCCACTCCAGTCATGCTAAATAGTTATGAGTCCCCAGGGACTGAAAAAGGTGGGGGGAATGACACTGCTTTGTCTCCTAACTCCCTCAGCCCGGTGTTAGCACAGACTCCTCAGAGTTTTCTAAAGATCCTATGGTGAAGAAGATAGTGTCAATCAAGTAAGACGAGGGCAAAAAGAGGGAAATTCACAAGCAAAAATTATCTCTAAATGTGCTCTAGAAGGCACCACCTGAGTATCAGCTAGAGATGCAGCAGAGTAGGAAGGGAGCAATGTGAATGTGGAACTTCACCTTTACCATTAACCTAAGAGGGTTGCATCATGGCATACTGAGAGCATTACTTTGGTGGGTTGAGGGCTTGCTGAACAACAGCTCCTTCCATTTGTAATGACACAGACTTTCACCTTCTTTCTACCCAGAGACCATACATCATCGCCCAGCAACTACAGCAAATACCTAAATGTGATAGAGATACTGTGGAAGGCTGTATATATCGTCTTGTTTGCAATCCTCGGGAATTCCGCAGAAGTGGGAGGAAACAAGCCATCATCAGAAGCTTTCTGAGATTATATACAACATTGCACCAGCAAACACTAATCGAACTGGTGATTTCTGAATTGGGCTAATGCCTCTCATACCAGCCACTGTTACCATATGACAATCACTCTGTACTGTGAAAAAGTGATTCTATTTGTACATGTTTTCTTCTGTTGTGCATTTTAAACTGTTTAAAATTCTCTACAAAAATGTATTTGGTGACATTATTTTTGGATATGCAAAACAACAAAAACGCCAATTTCATTTCAGTTGTGAAATAAAAGATTGATTCTGTATAGAATGATTTCTGTATTTTCCCATTACTGGTAAAGTTTCCACCTTTTCACCTGTTAACAATTTCAACAAGAGATCAGTTGTAGATGCTTGAAGTGTGGGAAGGAGATGGCTTCTTTGACCCCCATGGGGAAAAAGCAGCCTTGTGATTTCTCAGTGTTAGAATGGTGTAGTTTGTGTTTGCCCAATGAATACTGTCAGACAGCATCGTATGGATGCCAGTATTCATACAGTTCTGTACCTTGAGCGTACCTTGGGAAACAGTGGGCAATGCTGCAGCTCTTCCTCAGGCCAGTGTGAACAAGAGGAAACATGGGAATTCTTCCCCTTGGTGGGTGAAGGAGTCCCATATGATGTACCATCCTGGGATTCTTGATTCTGGCCAAACCCTAAGCAATCTTCTGCCTCCCTCTTCCTACAGCCTTATTGCTCTCTTCTCTTCTACCGCACACTTGGAATCATTCAGCAGATTGCAAGATAGAGCTGGCGAGGACTTTTCCTCAAGGAATAACACTTGTGACAAGAAGGCATAATATGTTAGCTTAAGTAGAAAAGGAAATGCACTCTCCAGGTGAGGTTCCTAAGAGCTGGAGTGGGGAGTCCTTTCCTCCCTAAAGCTAATCTCCCTGCTGTGTCTTCCAAGTAGTAATTTGTAGCCCTCCTCACTGAACCTGTTTAAGGGAGGGGAAGAGATGAATTAAGGTTAACCTCTTGATCACTGGGGAACAGGCAGTGCACCACTGTATTATCATGCACATCTATGTATCTGAAGCTTTTTAACATGCTTTCTATGAAGGATTTTCCATTAAAATACACTGTGTTGTAATGCTGCTTCTGAAGCTATGCTTTAATTAAGACAAATAAATACATGTTAAAATATGTCTATCTTGAACAGTTATTGTATATCTTTCCCAGCACTTTTTACTTTTCAATTATGGATTAAATATACATCCTTAGAACTTAAAGGGGAAATTGGAAATGGATCAGAAACAAGCTATAGGACTAGCTAAAAAGAATGTCTGCATCATTATTTTGTTTTTCCAAAGCTATAAATATACAGACTATTTGAACGGCATTTGCTTTAGACAAGGCAAAAATGCCTGCAACCAAAAAATGTAAAGTAACCTTTTCATTTGATTGACCTCCAGAATGGAATCATGGCCTTGGAGCTGTCAGTTCTTCGCTGTTTCACACAGATTTCTTTTTTTTCTCATTTAATCAACATACATATTTCAGTCTCATTATGGGCCCTATTCATGAAACTGTGAAGTTAGCTCATTATTTTCAGATCTGTACTGAGAATAAAAAGGTGGAAAAAAAGACTATCCAAGAAATGCTCTTCACAAACCAAGAGAGCTGGAAATAACAATCACAGATACTTCATAAATTACTATAAATGGAATTGCTTTAAAATAAGGTGGAGGTTTCAAACAAAAATAACAAGTTTGCATTACTTAGGCAAACAGTATTAAATCAGTCAAGAATGTCCAGGTTTTTTAAAATCAGCTTTACTAGAAGATACTTGTTATTTTGAGTCTCCTTGGCATGGAAGTTGTTCTGTTTTTATTCTACAGGAACAATTAGAGAGTCCTGTACAGCATGAGAGAGACCTTAAGCTAATAATGCCTGTTTTATAAGCATGTTTTGTCATGGGAAGACCTCTTGCTATTTCTAGCACACTTCACTTATAGTTTTTCAGTTCCTCAAACAAACAAACAAAAAACAAATAAAAAAAGTCCCAAGCAAAACACCCTCCCTTTTGTTCTAGTTCTACAATTACAAGGTACAGTATTTGCTTTCTAAAATGGCATCTACAGGGTACTGGTCTTGAAGTGAGTGTCTTCCCACCCCTCCCTCCATCTTGTTACTTATTGCTTGCCTCACAATAACTCCAGTAATCAAGACTTACATGTCTCTTGAAAAAGAGAGATAAGGAAATCTGCCTATAAACCATGAAGTTCAGCCACTTGTTTGGTCAAAGTGACAGCCAACAGAAATATGACCTTCAAGATTAAAACTCAAACTGTGATTAACTACAGAGGACAGACAGGAAAACATTTTCCTGCAAGCTGTTTAGCACATACAATATTAAGTTCAAATTCTCATATAATGAAATAATACTGCTATGCAACCTTTCTATGAATCCTACAAAAATTCTAAAAGATGGCTATTAGTACATCTGTTGTATGGACAAGGAAATGAAGGGTAAATGTGAGTGATGTGACAAAGGTTATGTGGGTCAAAAATAGTCAAGGAAGAGAAGAATCCACACCTGTCTTCCATGGTGGAGTGGCAGACCTGCTGCCTGCTTATAGTTTGAGAACGCGACTTAATTGAAAAGATGCCAGGAAAGCATTTTATTTTTAAATAAAATAAATAAGAAATGAAAAAAAATTATCTATTAACTTCAGAGAGGCTATTGTTGGTTTTCACCAGCATAAATAAAAAGAGAATCAAATGCCCAGGATTTCCTCTTGCTGAAAGTTCAGAATTAAGGTGATTTTCAATACTGTAGATCAAAACCATGTGCACAGACTGGGGCCTGGGGACAACTGAAAAGAAGTCTCTTCAATTTTTATGAAAGGTTCTACAAATACATCAAAAGGCAGAATTTTGTCATCTATATTCCACAACATCTAAATAGAATGTGGTCACTTAAAGATAGAGCTACATTTTTCAGGCTGAAAATTATCAACTTAAAAAGATTTGTAATATTTATCCATCATATTAAAACATCTCATAAAAAGTCAAAGGACCAGAAAAAAAATATGTGGAGGGAGGAGGAAGGGAAGAGAGAGAGCTCAAGCAAGCAAGAGAGAAATACAGTGCAGAAAAGATGGAAACATTTCTTTAGGGACTAGTTACAACCAACAAGCCTTCTTAGACATGCCCATTGACCATGTAAGCATATGCCTTGTGCTGGGCTGATAAAGGAGGGCTGCAGCAGGTTTTTTTTGCTTGTCTTCAATAAGGGTACACAACATTTAGAAAATAAACTGCAGGGGAAGACCTGTGGCACAAATAATATTTATAAGGCAATCCTTTTTAATGGAAAAAGTTTCGGAGTCCTCCTCATCTCACAGTCCAATCAAGAGTGATATGCACTCAAAAAAATGTGAATATTAAATACGCACTGAGCAAACAGAACAGAAAAAAAATGAATATTGAAATAATTTACATGTAATCAAACTACACTGAAATTAAGTTTTAATTGTTCAGTATTCTGTGATGCATATGCAGATTTTTAAGTATTCAGAATATTAATTAAGTGTTTATTTACATCAAGCAATTGTATTTAAGCATACAAAATAGATGATGAAAATATGTTCAATCAGCCTCAGCTCCCAACATTTACTGCAGGGTTTACATGATCACTTTTAATTCAGTTATTTAATTTAATATTTCAATTTAATAGCTCATTCTTTCATTCAATTTCTAGGCATCTTGCCCACTTCTTAAATACAATAATAATTATTATTCATAAAAGGAGCTGTTTCCCATAAGTTCTCATATCAGCAATTTTTGGAACAGAAATGGTTTTCATCCGCTTTTTTCCCCTCAAAAAATGTTGTTATTATCTGAAATATTTTCCTTTTAACTTAGACAATATTAAAACAAAGAACGACATCTATAAAATTACTCTGCACCCAATTTCAATGGAATTCTGAGCCAAAATAATTAGAGATTATCGGGTTAAAGTATGTA